CCTCCAGAGGAAGGCACTACCTGGTCCTAGATCACAATGAGTACAAATGCAGGTGCACATAAAGACTTTAATAAAGTATGGAAGGAGCAACTTCAGCATATTTTTACTTCATTAAAACTGAGAAAGTAGCCATCCAAGTAAGTACTCTAGAGTAAAAGCTGAGCTTGGTATGCAGACTACTCAAGTCAGAATAACTGATGTTGACATTTCATTTAATCTTGACCCCTTTTTTCCAGCTTTTTTATTGTCATTACATTGTCACGGGTACAGAGTAACGAAATTCACTCTGTATTTAACTCATCCCCTTGGGGAGCAGTGGGCTGACAGTGTGTGGCACCCAGGGAACTACATGAGCAGCCAAAATATGAAGATATGTGAACATTTTAGCATTTTGAAGATATAAAAAAACATGCACACAAATAAAAATCACAATTCTAAAATAAATTAGTGTAGAGGAAACATTTTTCCAAATCAAGTATTTGAAAAAAAACTTTACAAAACCAGTATTTACAGTAGGAGATGCACAAGTTAGTCTGTGTAAAGTATCTCCAGTGAAAATATCTGTTGTTAATTTTATATTCAAGTGACTTCAAACTGCTAAAGCACTCTTATTTGAAAAACAATATCAAATTCACAAACACAAATATTGATATGATTATCTGTGTCAAGCACATTTTTGGTTAAAGCAGCTTGTTTTCCATAATCATCTTTATCATAATGATCATCAACTTTATTCATAAAGTGCCATACCTGAAACAACATATTGAACATCAAAAGCAATAAATAATACAAGATAATAAAGTAAATATTGGCACATAATAAATAAAAAACAACAAAGCAATTCCAAAATCCACATAAAAAGTGGCAGATGATTTGTGGCTTCTGTGCATAAATTTGTACCCTGATTATTCATCTCCTTTTTCATTGCTGAATGTTAGTATTTAAGGAAGACTGGAACTCCAGCAGTTTGCAGGACTTTTAGCCTCATATTTATATAATTATTGCCAACTCAGTGAATGTAGTTTGTGTGTGCATGTGTGAACAAGAGTTTGGATTTGGTTAGGCAGTGTTGTAGATTTTATCCAGACCCAGAGCAACGACCCACTCTGTCTTGTGTTTGAGAAATGTTAGGCCAACACTGTTACTTATTGGAGGAAAATTAACCCAACTGGTGCCAGATAAACTAACTTAAATCTTCTACAAGAAAACTATTTAAAAATGTTATGAGAAAGGAAATCCTTAAACCCGATATTACTCGGAACAGCAACACTAGCAATCTAAAGAGAAAGCCTTCACTTCTTGTGGATACAAAGCATCATTTAGAAAAGAAAGGTCGACAAATTGTAACTGTGCGTTTGTGTTTCTGCCTTTTGCATGTGTGGGTATATGGTTTCAGAAAGGCGGCTGATGTGTGGGCTGTGAGCAGTAATGGAGGATCTAGTTCCCCTAATGCGATGAACATGATATTCCTTATAAACCATGAAGACACAACACACATGAATGCTTACACACAAGCACACAGCGCTCCTTCACAACCCTCCCTACAAACCTGCAGATTTTATCGGCCGTAGGTGAGGATGTGAATAGAAGAGCAAGAGATTTTAGTGATATAGTGGTTACATAATAAATGGAGGTTATCTGGTGCCAGGTCATTTAATCAGCTTCCAAGGATCCTACATATTTTTAAAGTCAAAATGACATGTTCCCAGACTTTAATTCAAACATTCTCTACCTAATATTAGGTAAAAAGAGTACTGAACTTGCTGATTATGTGCATACAAATTACTGACATGGTTGTTTTATTTTCTGCACGTCACACAAAACATGAAATTAACATAGTTCCAATTTGCTTCCATGTCTACAGGGTAAAAAAAATAAGGGGGCACATAAAATGTTTTCTATATGGCATCTGGACCAAATTTAATCTGTCCTACTACAAAATCTATAACTGTGTACGAAAGTCTGCCCTAAGCTCTAAATCCCTCAATCACTCTATAGAGCTGGGACTATATAGTGGACCTTTTAGTGAACTCAGTTATCTGACTGTTCGGTCAGATGATCACTACTTTTCGCTCCCTGTTGGACATGTAACTCCGCCTCCCTGCACGGTGCATCTGCCATCTTTTGTTACTTGTCGCTGTGTCGCTACCCAATTGTGGGTTTCTTCTTTTTCATCCACTAGATGTTAGGACACTCATCTAAAATGTTGTAACCACTATATAGTGCCCTATATAGTGAATAGGGCGGACAATTGGACACAGCCTAAGACTTTAAATGTTGAAACCAGTACTATCCTGCAGTATTGAGATATCATTTTAAGCACACCATGTGACCTTTGATGCCCTTAATATGTTTGTAAATATACAGATTTTAAAAAATAATAATAACAACTTCGGTGCTATTTGGCACCAAGACCAGGTATAGGAACCTGATGTCCAGTTTTAACGACTAAGCTGAAAGGAACCACTGACCTTAGAAGCAGTGAGATTAGAATTTTTTTAATTCTCTAATTATTTTTACCTCACAGCCCAACTGCTAAATCATAAATAGCATTAACTAGTGTAAGTTTGAGGGTACCTGGATTCAGTGGTGCAGTTGGGGGGTAGGGGTGATCCTCCCTATAAAAACACTGGCTCTTCAATCAACCCCTACAAGTGGTAAACTGCCAGTTTAACAACACCTTGCTTCTCCGACTACCAGTGAATGTGTCTACACAGTGATGGTGAGAAATGACTGTGTTTATACAGTATAAAATGTTTAATATACTAGTTTATGCCTGGAGTAACAAGAATTACAGTTCTGCCTATAAATTATCGTCACTTGAACTGTTATCCCAGTAACGTATAAAATGGTGAAGAGGTGTTAAATGTCGAGCTGCACCAGGTTACAATCAAGCTTGTGAGTTGAAGTAATTGTTTTATCCATTTCTGTTAGTTGAAACTCTGATTGCCTCTGTTATTTATGTTGCAGAGTCACAGGCATCCCTAAAGTCGGTCCCCGAGGGCCGCTGTCCTGCAAGGTTTTAGAGGTTTCCCTGCTCTAGCACAGCTGATTCACATTGATTGTTGATTAACAGACTTTTGCGGAACTGCAATAATCAGAATCAGCTCTGCTAAAGCAGAGAAACCTCTAAAACCTGCAGGACAGCGGCCCCTCGAGGACCAACTTTGGGGATGCCTGGTCTAATATGTTTGCTTTAAAACATATGTTAAACTGCTCAATGTATAGTTAAACCTTGCATATATGTAGTTGTCTTGCTGACTAGCTAGCTACACTTCTCAGAGAATCAATGTTTACATGCTTGCAGAAGTTTTGCACCATTGGCAGGTAAAGCGAGGTTTGCCATGATCTCATGGAGCCTTTAGATAATATGACAAAAAACCTTGATTGTCTGAAAGTCTGCTTGAAGCTGGCAGTTAGCGTTAATGTATGATCATCCATTCCTAACTAATGAAAGGTGAAGTAAGTTCAAGGTGAAAGGAAATAGCCAATTTGAGACAATCAAATAAATGAGCTCAGTAGGTGCTGCACAATATTTCAATAACATATTTTAAAATCTTAAAAACATTTTTGATATTTTATGTACTTTACAGTGAAAACAAATATTTAAATTTTTTTCATATTTGAGGGTTTTTATTTTATTTTGCTCAATATCAATATTGAAATTATATTGTGTCGGATGAAATTAAGAAATGTATCATGATATTGTCCAGGCTTAGATTCAGGCAGCAATTCAAAGACAGTGGAGAGCAGTTATACTTGTCTATGATGATCACGGTGGATTTGGTTATTGGCTTAGCAGTCAACCTGTTAGGTGATTTACAAGAGTTTGACTCCCTGTTAGGAACTGCAGGGAAGTTATTTTTCTTTGAATTTCCCCATAAAGGAACCACATTTAGGAGAGTTAGCTTAGCTTAAAATGCATTCTAAGGATCTTTTCAGCATTTTCATGTTCTTATTGCACCTCTACAATCAAAATGGTTTCTTTTTTAAAACCTGCAGTAGAGAGAGAAATAATCAGAATCAAAACAATATTAAACATATTCAGTTAGTTTAAGCTTAGGTTGTTATATTTTACTTGTCAAGTAGCTTCCAATCTAACAGTGTCTTTGTTTGTTTTTTTCATATTTGCAGAAATTGTGTGATTTTTCTTTGCTCTCTCACATTTTCAAGGTAAAAGATTTTTATTTTAATTCAGCAGGACATGGGCACCTCACAGAGCAAAGATAATAAACACCACTAGGGAAGAAAGAAAAACATTCAGAACATTCAGTAGAATGAAATATCTGTCAGCCAGAAAGACATCACAGAATAAAAAATTGTTTCAAAGCTCTAAACTTTGGGTAGGAAAAGAAATGTATATATAAAGCGCAGAAAATATGAAAAGAACATAAACTAAAAGGAACGACTGAAAAAAGTACTGAATACAGAAAGAAGCAGGACTTCTGGACATAACCCTAAAACACAACTTAACTAAAACAAAGCAAAGAAAAAAGGTTTTTGAAGCAACAGTTACAAATCTGCATGCATGTGCAAAGACATACATCATCCAACTCACGCACTGAGGCGTTTAAAGGTGCATCAACATGAGGGGAGTCATGCTTAGAGCCACTAGTGTCAGAACTTATGTAGACTAAACACAGTTGAGTGACTACAGCTGCAGGAGAAAGGGCTTCAACACCACAAAGACTCCCTCTCTCTTTTTCACACACACACACACACGCGCGCGCACAGCTTTCTGAGGCAGATGTTCAATGTGCTTTTGATAACAGCATCAGCAGCCCTAACAATCATTTCTCACACAAGGACACTCGCGGAAAAGCCAACGCCTCCTTCCATGTACGTATCCCATGTCTGCGTAAATCAAATCAGCGTCCTTCAACACTATAACCAGCACCATATGAGATGGTGTTAAAATCAGCTCCATCTTTGTCTGAACATGCTCGGCCAGTGGGGTTTGCTGCTGTACAAGTGTGGGTGTGTGTTTGTGTGGGCCTTACCTCTGTGCCACATGGTAGGACTCGGGGTGAATACAAGTTTGGTCCAGGGGGTTTAATGAGGTTGGTATGTCACAAGCAGCCTTTCCTTTGCTCTTCTTAGGTGCTGTTTTTTCTGCTACTGTTGTGGCACTCCCAGGCAAGGGTTTGGCACTGTTTGACAAAACACGAGAAATTCAAATGTTTTAAACACTCAGTGATTATTGATTATTATAATATTTATAAGTTTTGTTATTAATAGAAGTTTATTTGGATTGCTAACTGAAAACTAACATCTAACCTCAGCCTATTTCTGCCTTGTTCATTTCAGCCATAGATCTGCACATCTGAATTTCTCTTCAGCAAACTTCTCCGTAGGGCATCAACAACTGTTTTAATCTCCTGATGTTTTGCGCAGATCCCAGCCCTGCCTTGGCTGTGTTAAAAACTAAATGGTCCTCTTTATTTTTTCACATGAACCCAAATAATTATTTGAGCAGAAAACCACTAAATGCCAGAATACTTAGCTTGTAATCTAATGCTGTAGTTTCAGCCACTTTTATAAAGTAGACATTTTAGTGTGGACACTGGCTCCATTTTCACAAATCTATTTTCTGGGTATGACTTTTTTTTTTTTTTGGACAGTAATCTGCTCCATTTCAAATTTAACACAAATTAAGAGGCAATAAAACATCAACAGGCAAATTATGTATCTAATAAAAATAATAGAAAAGACATCATTTTTTTTTTTTTTTTTCTTACTAGAAGACTTATTTACAGCACAAATATGCTAAGTTGCAGTTATTTTTAGTGGTTTGATGATTATCTTGAAGCCGAATTCTATATCTATTTTGATCATTTTTAGTGAGGCAAAAGACACCTTAATGTAATAGAAATGTGTTAGATTTTCACTTTGTCATCTATGGGGATCTAAAGCAGGGTCTTCAATTCGACTCCTGGACTTTTTAAACGTGCCTCAGCTTTAACACACCTGAGTCAAATAATCAGGTCATTAGCAGGAGTCTGGAAAACTTGACAGCAGCGGTAGTTCAGCAATTATATTCAGCTGTGTGGAAGCGGAGACACAGAGAAGTTGCAGGACACCAGATCAAGGAATGAAACTGAGGAACCCAAATCTAGAGAGTTTTGTGGCATACATCATTTTACACAAACCTTTATATTTTGACTTGCTTTTTGCTTATTTGGTAATAATGTGTTTGCATTTGTGTTTTGTGGATGAACTTTAATTAAAACTATTATTCATAATATTACTCAATTCAATTCGAATATGAAAGTGAAAAAACAATGAACTTAAAGCAACAATAAACCAGATAGAGACAAAAAAAACCACATAAATATATTTAAAAAACATATTCTTTCTTTGTGCCAAGAAAACACTTAAGTTTTTTTTTGCATTTTGAAAACTACAATTTTTAGCCACTAGGGGCGCTAGAACTATAACTTACAGAAGGCATCCCCAAACTCGGTCCTCGAGGGCCGCTGTCCTGCAGGTTTTAGAGGTTTCCTTGCTCCAGCACAGCTGATTTTAATTGAAAGCTGATTAACAGGCTTTACAGGATTAGGTCCTCTGAAGACCACTGACAACACTGCACACACAGGCTGTTTCTCAATATGTGTACTTGTGTGTTCTGATGTGCTTGTGTACTTTTGAAACGTGGTCAGCCTCAGCCCTAGAACTGTTAACAACAGCAGACAGAGGACAGACAAAGTCCCCAGATGTTGTTCTCGTATCTCCCTCTTTACCGAGAATGCATCAGAGCAGACGTGTCGGTTCTTGAGATTGACAGGTGTCCCAGCATGCACTGCGGCAGCAGTAGCTTCCAATGGAGCCATGACAGAGCTCAGAGTATTAAGTTAAAAGTTCTCTTCTCTGTTGCGGTTGTTCAATAAAAGCACGTTTTAAGATCATTTGAGGTCAGAATATTATACTTTTAAATTTCATATGGCCCATTTACTGATTTAATGCGCAATTTAAAAAAACTGTCACTTTGGGTCTCTGAGCAAGACCCTTAACCCACACTGCTACCTGGGTGCCCCACGATGACAGCCCACTGCTCCTCAATGGTTAAATGCAGAGGTAAATTTCTCCAATGTGAGATCAATAAAGTTGAATTATCAATTATTATCAATGTGCTTTAGTCACAAAAATATAGAATGATGTAAACCCCAAATCCAACAAACACACATAATTATTGTAAAAAGAAAATGCGGTAAAAAAAAAAAAAAAAAAATGCTGCAGCCACAGAAAATTGATGGCAGCAAAATGGAAAAATGTTGGCCAAGGAACAACTTAAGCGGAAGTGTGCCAAACAAAGAGAGGGGATTAGACTACCAGGTCATAAGGGGCCAGGTTTGATGGCTGAATAATTGCTTCTTATTAAAACCAGATCTACACTGAAACTGACCAATAAGGTATCAGCTTCTAGAACGCTAAAACAAAAAACAACAAATAAAAACTTCCACATTACAGCCTTGCCTTTATTAAAAAGCATCTTATTCTGCTGGTAAAGATTCCAAATTCTCCAGAAAAAAAAAGTTCCCCGAAAGAAAAAAGATTGGACTAAAAATTTGATGGATAAAACTTTTTTTAATTAAAAAACTTCAAGTCCGGTTGCGGTTTTTAATCTTTAATTTGTATTTACCGCTATTTAAAACCTGTGAATTAAGCCAGTTATTAGATGTGATTTATAAATAAATTCATCCTAAGTGGAGCTCTAATTACCAAATAACATAAACATGCAGTTTTTATGAACACAGAATATTACAGAATTAAAATTCAATAAAGAAAACGTATTCTATTTAGGTTTCATGTTTTGACATCAGTGTTTTCTACCTGTTTAGAGTTTGCGGATTGATCCTAATGAAGCCAGCACACTGTTGGAAGCTCTTGGGTCCCATGCCTTTCACCAGTTTGAGTTGCTCTCTGTTGATGAACGGACCATTTTTCTCTCTCCACTCAGCAATGCTGCGAGCTCTGCCTGCGTTCAGCCCTGCTACATGCCTACAAAAGGAAACACCAAATTCACCAGACAAAAACCTTAGAAAACCAGTCCGTTTAAACAGCACTTTTTGGTGCTAATTACACTTCAGAACACTTTGAGTTGAATTTAAATACTAATGACACATAAGTGTACAGAGATGTAAACATGATGGGATTCATGACAATCATCTGACTTTTAAATGAGCTGCTGACACAATAAGTTCCCATTTGGTGATATCTAGTGTACCTATTTAATCTGTTATGGCTGAGGAAAAAAAGGATAGCAATCTGAAATGCAATTAGCTCGATCCTGTTAATGCCCACAGCGAGTCACCTCCCCTAAAACACATTGCTATGTCAACACTGCACATAATACCTCAGTCATCAACACCTATGTGAGCCAAATGGTAGCAGAAATGGAAAAAGCTCACTAGCAGAGTAGACAGGTAAACAGATGACCTGATGGCTCAGCTAATGTCCATGCCAGCTTCATTTATTACTAACTTTAAAAAATAGCCATATTTTTTCCTATACCTCTTCCTTCTTAGTATACGGCAGCAATACATATTGCTAATTTGTGTCCTGCAATGTTATACGACAGTTTTTCATGCAATTTTCCAATACTTGTGAATGTTTTTTCTCTCTTTTTTTTCTCATGTGCGCAGACCTGGCTAATCCTCTCAGTTGACATCAGTCGGCCCTGTTAAGTGGGGCCAGGATGTGAAGCATTAGTCTAAACAGAAAGCTGGCAGTCCGCCTGTGTGTGGGTGAGTGTGCATTAATCGCACGTCTGTTCATGAGTGTGAACGAAGTTTTGTCATGTTGTGACTGCAAAAGGAAAGTATGTTAGAAGATTGAGATGGACTATATCTCTATTTTACAAAATGCATGTGTTTGTGCATGAGTGAAAAGTGTGTGAAAATACACAGCCGCTGTGAAAAGGAATGTGTTGGCAGGCTGAGGTTTTATCAATATCATTTTTTTATCCTCATTACTAATATTTTAAAATAAAACCTCAGAGAAGTACTTTGCTGGCTTAAAATTCATTGTCGAAAGAATCAACAAGTCAGAGAGTTAGTTTACAGTTTAAGCAAAACATGCTAAGAAGGAAGTATGGGAAAAAAAAAAAAAGGTCTCCCCCTAATTTGAATACAGCAGGAAAAAAAATCCTTGGAACAGATTCAAATAAGATCCTTCGTACCGACAAAAAACTATAATAAATTGTGTAAGAATTTTATATAAGTCCTTATAATGTTTCAATAAAATCTTCTAAAGTTATAAAGCGATTAATAAGCATTACGTAACTTTGTGCAATGTGGGTAAACGTCGAGTTTCTGACGATGGAGTGTAGCATGACTGCACAGGGTGTGAGCTACCTCATTAGTGTCTCAGAGCAGATGTTGATGTCCACTCCAACAAAGCTCACACACTCCTGCACCACTCCATCCAGCGCTGCCTTCAGTGCTCCAGCTGACACATCGTGCTGAAAGAACACATTAGACATGAAGAAGGAGAGCTGAGGTACTACTGTCTAGTTTTCCTGCTGAAGCTGTATCCCCCCTCAAAAAGAAACCAAAAACAGAACAAATCTCATCACAATAAAGGCAAATATTTTTCAGTTTCAAACTGATTAATCATTGTTATTTTCATATTATAGGGATATTTAAACATCTATACATATATATATATATATATATATATATATATATATATA